CCCCCACCCCGGCGGCCAGAGCGCCGGGGGCAGGGCGGCGAGAGGGCGGCGAGCCCCGGCTGGGGCTTGGCTCTCCTCCCGGCGGCCAGAGCGCCGTGCCGCCCCAAGCACCAGCTTGGGTGCCTGGAGCCGGCCCTGGTGCCTAGCACAGTGGAGGCCTGCTTCATGACTGGGGCGCCTAAGGTTCTAGAGCAGTGTTTCTCAAATGCGGCCACCAGGGGATGTTCTTGCGGTCACAGCCTCCTGGGTGGTGGTGGTGGTGGTGGTGGGGGCAAAGTAGCAGCTCTGCCCCGGGGGCTGCCAGCAGTGGTTGGGCCCTGGCCGCCTCTGGAGACAGAAAAGCTGGAGGAGCAGACAGACGATGTGAGTTCCCCACCTTCCCAGGGGTGCTGAGGTTGGTGTGGTGGGTGACAGGTTCCACCTATGGGGTTTTGGGCTCCATCCTTGGGCCCTGTCCCCTGGGCATGGGGCTTTGGGCTCCATTCCCTGGCTGTGAGGTGACGGGCTCTGGTCCCGAGCTCACCCTCCCCAACCACCGCTGGCCCCTGCTGCCTCCCCCAGTGCCCCAGCGCCTCCATAACCACTTCCCCATCCAGGGTTTAATTTGTCCCTGGGCTTGCTGGAACTGAGTAAATCTGCTGTGAAATGTGATATTTGTATGTTTGTTAATATCACTTTTCACAGCAGACTTACTAGCTAGCAAGTCTTTAAAAAAGAAGATAAAAGACAAGAACATACAAAGCACCTTATTTGTATTTCCATTCTGTTTAGGTCCAGTAAAGGATAGAGACAGCTGTACATTATTTTTATTACTGAGTCTGCAAAAAACCCTACATAAATAAATTACAATGGTTTGGACATGTATATGTGCATATTTATTTGTTTTTCCTAAAGTTACTTATGTATTTTAGGAAAAATTGTCAGAACGGCCACCAGCAAGAGTTAGGTCACCAAAAATTTGTTGTGAGAACCCCTGTTCTAGAGTAATACAAATAGTAAAAGCGCTGACTCCGTAGGAGCTAAAGTAGCTCAGTACCTCGAAGTGCTCAGCACTTTTGCAGGATCAGCAAGACACTGTGGTGCCAGCAGACAAGGAACCAGCAAGACACAATGATGTAGAAACCAAGATGGATAGAAAATAAGATTGGCCTATTGGTCCTACATCAGTAACTCTTTACAGTTCAGAATGCAGAGAATGGAGTTTTGGAAAATTGGGTGGAGAGTCCTAAAAGTTTGTTCATCTCTTCCCAGATGGAGAGGAGTCCAAACATCTCCTGGCTCTTTCATTTCCGCATAATCTGTAAGTGCCTTTATTTTATTCCCTTTGTCTATCCTCCCCTGTTCTTGTTTCTCTCCCCTCTTCCCCCCATTACAATGTAATTGCCATACTGGGTCAGAGCCCAGCACCAGATGTTTCAGAGCAAGGTGCAAGAAACACTGCAGTGTGGCAGATATGGGATAATCTACCTGCAAGGGAAGTCTTCAGACAGCAGGATTGATTCAGCGTGTTAACACATCTGCCTTGTGATGTGAGAGCAGTTGCTTCAAATTCTCTTTAGATCATACGTGGAATCTCATTTTCCCTGCCTAGTTCTGGTCCTCGAGAGACTGTTTTGATAGGACCTAATATGTTTCTTATCTCTGAGATTCACAGATCTCTGTAACAGGCTTAGTCCCCATTTTCCAAAAACAATCATACAATTCACCCTCAACAATCTATGTTGGGAACTCAGGACTTGAATAGCAGGAGATGCAGCTGGTCAGGACTGAGGGTATTGTCAGATCTGTTTGTACTGGAGAGTCCAGGGCAGGATTAGTAAGGGGGGGGAGTGAGGCTGCAGGTCAGGATTGAGTGGCATTGGTAGAGTTGTGTATGTGGGTGGAGCCCAAGGCTGGAATAGCAAGGGGACTGCAGATCAGGACTGAGGGGCATCAGCCGAGCGCTGTGGGGCTCAGGGGGAGCTCAGGGTTGGAATAGCAGAAAGCTGTGGGTTGGGATTGAGGGGCATTGACAGAGCTGAGAGTCAGGAGTCCAGAAGTGGTTTAACAGGGAGTGCAGCAAGTCAGGATTTAGAGGCAGTGGCAGAACTGTGTGTTGGGAGGGAGAAAGTCCAGCACTAGACTAGCAGGGAATGCTGTGGATCAGAATGGAGAGGCATAGAGAATGCAGGACTGGAGTAGCAGGGGATGCAGTGGCTCAGAATTGTGGGGCAGTGGTAAGAGAGGATCCAGGATTGGAATGTGGGGGCTGCAAGCCAGGATTGAGGGGCTTTGGCAGAGGATTGTGGGTGTGGGAATGGATCAGCCCTGGAATAGCAGCCCTGGAGGCGCATTGGCAAAGCTGTCGGTGAGAAGCTTGCTAACCTCTGCCTGCACTGTTAATAATGAAAATGACTTTGTGAGTAAGTGTTACCCATGTAGAGGGAAGGATGTGGAGAAATCATTAAAGCAACAAAGTTTAATGAAGGCATGACGTGGCTTGATACCTGACACAAATCTCCTAGGGGAGAACGGGGCGGGGGTGGGGGGGTGGGAGAGTTTCTTTATTCTGAACATTTCCTCTCCAGGACTCGATGAGCAGCAACAGCTGGCCAGGAAAGATAATTTCAGAAGATAATTTGCATGTGACAGGCTAAATACGCTAATGTAAAACCCCTTCTCATTTGTGCAGTTGAGTGTGAGACTGTTCAGAGTTGATAACCTTGTCAAAACAGTATGTAATGTCTTCCAGAAGGCCTTTTATGGATTAGATTGCTTTGTTCAGTTCTGGGTTGGAGCAGAGCAGCTGTTTAACAGCTCACAGCAACCTAGTTGAGGACAAGACATCAAGGAGAACCCTGTAGCTAACTAAAACTTCAGGAAGGAAGAATGAAACTATGCAGCATGCTGCGGTTAACACGCTGACTCGTGCAACAAAGTGCCATGGGAAACTGAAGCTGGGGTTTTCAGAGGATCCTAAGGGACCCATTGAGATGTGTTTGTGCTGTGTGATGGGGTCCAGATCTTGACTGGGGCTTTGTCGTAATATAAATATCAACGTTTGACACCCCGCATGGCTTTCATCCCATGTAGTTTAGGGTTTGAAATGTTCAGTTACTTCCACGTGGCACTTGCCTAGTGCTTCCCAATCCCCTGTGAGAAGAGTTAGTCCTATTTTACAGATGAGGAAACTGAGACATGAAGCGACTTGCCCACAGTTACACTGTGAGTCAGTGGGAAAATTAAGGTTATAACCCAGGAATCCTGGCGCTCATACCTATACTCTGACTACTAGATCACACTCCATTTCCAGTGTTGGGAATAGATTGTAGGAGTCCTGGCTCCTAGCCTTATGCTTAAGTCACCCCCTTCTTTACTTCTGTCAAGCCTTCCCCATGTGTACCCCAAACCACAGCTCAGTATTGTAATTCCAGTGTCTAACCTCCCTTCTTTCTGTGTCCAGCTCTGATGCTCTTGTTGGGCGTCCTGGATTTCCTGTTTGTCAGCCATGCCTACCACAGCATCCTCACCCGGGGAGCCTCCGTCCAGCTGGTCTTTGGGTTTGAGGTATGAAATGTGTCTGCCTGTGTGGCAAGGAGGGAGGGAGGAATATTTGCCTTGCTCTGCTACTTACTGCAAATCAAAGCTCTGTGATGCATTGTAAGCCAGTGGGGCTGACTAACCAGCCAGTGCTTCAGAGTTCTCTCGGCAGCAAGTGGATTTTGGTCCCTTTCCTTCGTGGTTCTGTTTATTTCTACAAAAACAGAAGTTATGCATATCAGCCAAGTCCTTTCCCCTGCCCTGGGATTTCTGATGGAGACCATCTGCTCCATGCAGGTCTGGTTCCCCAGGCCTTCTGCCTTCAAGTTAAAGTGAGTCTTTACTCCCTTCTGCTTAGGCTTTCCTCCAGCCTGCTTCCTGTAGGGTTGCACTCCCAGGCCATCTGCCAGGGAGCTAAGGAGAGCCTCCCTACTCCTTTCTTCTCTCCCTGAACTCAGGCTGCCTTTTGTATCCGTGCAGGCCTGGCTCGGAGACACCAGTTTCCTACCATGTGATTTGGTCCCTCACCTGGAGAGGTGGGCTGACCTTGGCACAGGGTACAGATGAGTTCCAATGCCTTTAAAAGATTAGCTCATCCTGTGACATGCCTCTTATTTCTTTCCTGCCCCCACAGTATGCCATCCTCATGACCATGGTGCTCACAATCTTCATAAAGTACATTCTGCATTCAGTCGACCTGCAGAGTGAGAATCCATGGGACAACAAGGCCGTCTACATGCTGTACACGGAGCTCTTCACAGGTACACTCTCTCTCCCCAGCTCTGGATAACAGCTAGCTCCTTCCATAGCCCAGTGGGGACTTGTGTGTTCTCCCATATGAACATCTAACAGCCATGGGAGCCTGAATTGTGGTGCTATATGGGGCCTTGTGCTAGAGCTCTTCATAGGAGCATGGTTGGGAGGGGTAGTTTGTAGATGGTCTCACCACTTCATTGATCAGTTGAAGGGAAGAAAGTGGGATTGAAATGGAGCTAAGTAGCAGCTCTATTTGTAAGAGAAGCCTGTGGCGATCCAAAATCATTTAATGTATCATTAAAACTAAGGGCAAGTCTACGCTACAAAATTAAGTTGACCTAAGTTATGTCGACGTACAGCCACCGCAGTAATTGAATCGGTTTTACACATTCACGCTACGCTTATTGTGTTGGCGGTGCGCGTACTCACCAGGAGTGCTTGCACCGATTGAACTGCCAGTGTGGGGCATTGTGGGACGGTTTCTGAAAGGCAGCAACAGTTGATGTAAGCAACACAGTGTCTACATTGATACTGCATCAACTTAACTACATCAGCGTAGGCTCTACGCCTTTCGCAGAGGTGGAGTTATTAAGTCAGTGTAGTTGGGGAGTTACATTGGTGGGAGTTACATTTTAGAGTAGACGCTTATGGAGTTAGGTTGACGTAAGCTGCCTTATGTTGATCTAACTCTGTAGTGTAGACCAGGCCTAAAATGCTGATGGCTTGGTAAGATTGGAATCAAAATATGGATTGGGTGGATTTCTGGAGGCCACAGTGGGTTGGTTTGTGCAGGCATTGTGGTCTGGTGGCTAGAGCAAGGAAGATGGGGAGTCAGGATCCCTGGGCTTTATCCCCAGCTCTGGGAGGGGAGTTAGAGCAGGGAGGAACTGGGAGCCAAACTCCAGAGTTCTATTCCCAGCTCTGTGAGGGGAGTGCAATTGAGTTACTAGAGCCTCCTGGGTTCTGTTCTTAGCTTGGTCATTGACTCACTGTGTGACATGGGGGAGCAAATTGCTTCTTTTCTGTGCCTCTTTCTCCACCTGTAAAATTGAGGCACTTCCCTGCCTCCTGGGGTTGGATGTGGGAGTTCGCTAGTGTTTAAGGGCAATGAGATCCTCTGAGTAGAGGCACACGAGAGAGAGAGAGAGAGCACTAATCTCTCTCCTTCCTCCTCAGGCTTCATTAAAGTGCTGCTGTACATGGCCTTCATGACCATCATGATTAAAGTGCACACTTTCCCTCTCTTCGCCATCCGGCCCATGTACCTGGCAATGAGGTAAGATGTCACTGGGGTATTGATTGAGCATGTGCTGAGTGTCTGATACTGTTCTTGTGTGTGTGTGTGTGTGTGTGTGTGTGTGTGTGTGTGTGTGTGTGTGTGTAACTCCAGCAACTTGTGTGTCATTTCAGGCAGTTCAAGAGAGCTGTGACTGATGCCATCATGTCACGCCGCGCCATTCGCAACATGAACACTCTGTAAGTATCCAGTTGGAGAGAAATTGCTTCTATAGCGTGAAATCTGTTACAGTAGGGCCTAAAAGCATTGGGCAGGGCACCGCACAGACCCCTCACCCCCTCGACTGGGGTGGAGAGGACCACATTGAGCCAGGCGCTGCACAGAGACCTAGGGAGATGGCGCTTGTCCCAAAGAGTTTACATTTGAAATAGACAAAGGGTGGGAGCAGGAAACAGGCACAGAGAGGGGAAAGAACTTGCCCAAGGTCAGTGGCAGAGCTGGGAGTAGAATCCAGATTTCCTGACTCCCAGTCCAGTCCTCTGGCCACAAGACCACACAGCCATGTTTGCAATGAATCTCTCTGGCCCTTTAAGCTTCATTAATACAGGAGAAATCCGCATTAGAGCAGTCTGGCTTAAGACACTCAGTCCAGTGTATAGCTTGTTAGAGGCCTAGTAGGTCACAGCTAATCTAGCGCAACCCGTCAGTCCTGTCCCATCCAGTTTGGAATGCCCTGGGCAAGACGACTTCCCTTGGGGGTGGGTGGACTGTCTCACATAGATCTCCCTGCTATCCAACCTAAATTTCCCTTTGCTTAATTATCTCCTGTTATAGCCCCCGCTCCTTCATTGGCATCACTGCCCTTGTAGATCATCAGAGAATATATACGTTACTGCCTCTTAAAACTCTACTGCCTCCCCAGATACCCTGATGCCACTCCAGAAGAGCTTCAGGCCATGGATAATGTGTGCATTATCTGCCGGGAGGAGATGGTGATGGGTGCAAAACGCCTGCCATGCAACCACATATTCCACACCAGGTGAGGAAAGGCTAATATGTCTGCCCACGCAGCTGCTTGCAGATGGCTTTCTTTGTGGTGTGGAGTTAGCTGCCAAAGGCATGAAAATCCAAGCCTTGTCCTTGTATAATTGAGAAGCCAGGGCATGGTAACTTCCTCCTTGCTGTAAGGTGCATGGTGCCAGGGAAGAATCTAACAACTAAAAAGGATTTGTAAAGGAATTCAGTCCCCTCTGCTGTAGATCACTGGTTCCAATCCATCTCTTCTCAACTGTGAGGCCTGGTCATTGCTGTCTGGAGGCCTGTGAGTTGGTGGCTCCAAGTTCAGTCCCTAGCGAGCAGGTCCATGTAACAAATACCATCTCTGTCGAGAAGCCATGGATTGAATGGGTCTACACAGGCTGAAATCTCTTCTCTTCTCCATCTACCCATGGCAAGAGTGAGAAACAATAACAGGGGAGGGCGTCTCCAGCTAATTGTCGGGACTGTGTGTAAATCCTATTGCCCTGAAAAAGTAACCTGTTTAATGAGCCAATCTTAACTAGGTGGCCTCTGCCCCCTCCACAGCTGCCTGCGTTCCTGGTTCCAGCGGCAGCAGACCTGCCCCACCTGCCGCATGGACGTCCTCCGTGCCTCCCTCCCCACTCAGTCCCAAACGCCACCCGAGCAACAGGAGCAAGCGCAGCAGCAGCAACAGCAGCCACCGCAGCACCATACTCCACTGATTCCCCAGCCGCCTAACTGTGAGTACAGCTTCTCTGGACACCAAGCCAGCAGGGCTGAGCAGTTTCTCAGTAATCCTGTCCTGATGCCATTCATTCCAGATGGAAATCACTGCAGCCACCTCCAGGGTGAGGTGCAGCAGCTGTTGATACTGGGACTCCTTGCCCAGCATTGAAAAATTGAAGTGTATTACTATGTTGTACTACTGAATGTACCTTGTTTGGGCCAAACTCTGCCTTCAGTTATACACACAACAACATTACAATGCATTGGGCCATATGGGAGTAACCAAAGACATTTGGCCTTTTAGCTTCTCTGTCATTAGAAGGAAAGTAAGAGCGTAGTGTAATGGAGAGGAATTGTGTAATTCTTGGAGCAACAGACTGGGAATCAGGACTCCTGGATTATTCCCCCTCCAGAAGCAGGAACAGAGAGTCCTGTGGCTGGAGCTGGGTGTGGGGGTGCTGAGAATCAGGACTCCGCTCTGCCACTGTGCATAAGTGTACCTCTGTAAAATGGATAGTACACTGACCTACCTCCCCTGAGGCTATTTTAATGTCACAAGTGCCTTGAGACCCTTGGCTGGAAGGTGCTGGAGAAATGTAGTGTCTGTCTGGCATATCTTCTCTATGGGTCACCCACTTCTCTCCTTCACTCCGCAGTCCCCCAAGGAATCCTGCCGCCGTTTCCTCCTGGGATGTTCCCTCTCTGGCCTCCCATAGGTCCATTTCCTCCAGTGCCTGGTGTCCAGCCACCCAACAATGCAGAGAATCCCTCTGCTGCTTCCAGTGCACCCTCCACTTCAGGCATTCAGACAACAGGTGAGAAGCCACAGAGTCTAACCTTCTCCTTCATGCCATCACTGGGGCAGGCTTCCCTCTCGCTGCCCCGCCAACATACTTCAACTGTGACCTGCTTCTGGTTCTACCCGGCCCATTTGGTTCTAGACCTGTAAATTGAGACTGCCAGCAAGGAGGCCAGTTATGCCAGTCATGGGTTTGGACAGAGACTCACCAACAGACCACAGAGTTGCCACAAGATGAAAACAGCTTTGACACTATTGATCTGCGGCTGGTCCCCTAAAGGGGAAAAGACCCTATATCCCATTGGCTGGCTCAGAAGGTCAGGAAATCTCTCCAATCTGGGGCTGGATTGGAGCTGGTGCCCCTAGAGAGAAAAAGTTCTGTATTCCTCTCTCTCCCCCCCCCGGTAGCTAGTCTCCATCCCTGGGCCAGGTTGGAACTGGCACCCCTAGAGATGAAAGGCTTTATATCCCCTTACCTTCTTGACATTATTTTATAGTGGGGGATTAACTAACATTGACCCGAGAAAGATACCCAGGTGTTGTGTGTTTGAAGACATGCTGAAACCTCATTGGCTATGTGTAAAGCGGTGGATGGGCATAAATGTACCATGACTGTTTAACCAGGCTGCTATCTCTTCTTTGTCCCCTTCACCCTCTGCAGCGAGTACCTCGAGACCTGGTGGTGATTCAGCATCTGGATCTGACACTGCCCCTGTGGGAGCAGTGCCTGGCTTTCCCTTCCCTCCCCCGTGGATGGGAATGGCATTGCCACCTCTATTTGGTAAGCTAGGGTGGCTTCTTCCATCCAGGGCTGGATGGGGGAAGGAAGTTCCTCTACTGGGAGCATGGGGAGGGAGAAGAAAATATCCAAACTTTGTCTCTAAGGGCCAAATTAGCAACTTGCCAAGAGCATGGTCATATCTTCTTCAGTAAATTGATAGATTTCACCGCTAATTAAAACCTTGTCCATTGGAGAGGGAGTCAGGAAGCTTGCCTTGAGTCCTCTCTTACAGACCATCTGTTTTCCTTCTGAACAGGCTTCCCTCCCATGCCTGTGCCACCCGCCGGGTTTGCTGGGTTGACAGATGAAGAGCTCCGTGCCATGGAAGGCCATGACCGGCAGCATCTGGAAGCCAGGCTCCAGTGTCTGCAGAACATCCACACGCTCCTAGATGCAGCCATGTTACAGATAAACCAGTATCTCACCGTTCTGGCGACCATTGGGTAACTATCCAGTACTGTGGCAGGGTGTGAGACCTTGTACTCTGTCGGATACATGGTGCAACCACTGACTTGACCATAATCCATCCAGCTCTGTGTTGGATCCATGTAGCTTAGTGACAGCATATTGTAATGCCATATGATTCCAAACTGCTGGCTCCCTGTCCTCACAGTGCTAAAAGTGGGTGGTCTTCGTTGGTGATAACAGGTGCCCAAAGCTTGTACCACCAATGTGTGGGGCCTAGGAGATAGAGTGCTGGTCTGGGACTGAGGAGACCTATATTCTACTCCAACTCTGCCACTGGTCTTGAGTTTCCCCATCTGTAAAATGAGAATAATTATACTGACCACCTTTGTGAAGTGCTTTGAGATCTGCTGATGAAAAGTGCCATGTAAGATCTAGGGTTTATGTACAAACCTCAACCCATGACGTAGGTCAGTAACCATCTGTATGGTGCAAATGGGGGTCCTGAAGCAGAGCGGTGGAGAAGCTACTGCCATAGATAGCTTCTCAGAGCGAGGGTGAGAACTCAGGAGTTTCGGTTCCTGGCAATACCTCCTTTTTATAGCACTGAGTAGATACTTTAAGGCCTGCTTGCTTATATGGCAAATTAGCACTGAAGTGTGGAGACACCCTTATTCCTATCCTTGGGCAGGAATAAGCCTGCACTGGAAGAGCTGGAAGATGCAGTTGCACTTGCAGTCAGGCCAAGATTCTGCTCACCACCCTGTGAAAGGAAACATGGGCTAGGAAAGCAGAGTTTGGAAGCCAGAAGTGTGTTCTTGTGGCTGACACTGTACTGGGACTCTGATCAGGGTTCAAGTCCTGGCTCAGCTACAGACATCCTGTTGTGAGTTGGGGCACTTCTCTTTCTTTGCCTTAGCTTTGCTATACATAAAGAGAAGGGTGGTAATCCTTTGTGTCTCTCATCCATTTAGATTGTAAGCTGTTCTGGGCAGGAGCACTCTTTTTATTACACTAGATTCAAAAAGGGCTTGGATATGGATATCAAGAATATTGAGAGTTTGTCATGACAGCAAAAATTTTGGAAGGGACATTGAACTTCCTACTTCATTGCTTAAGCCAATGTGGGAGGGGCAGATTACCCTATATCTGCCTACTGTGAGGTTCTTGCACCTGATTCTGAAGCACTTGGTCCTGGCCATTGTTGGAGACAAGATACTGGACTAGATAGACCAAGGGTCTGATTCAGTCTGACAGTTCTTTTGTAAAGTTTTGTTAGGGCCCTGATCTCATCTGGGGCCTCTAAGTGATAGCATACTACAAAGAATTAATCATGGTCTGGTCTGTTTATAGCTCTCCACGTTGTAACCGTCTTCTGGCTTCCCCTCTGGACAGGTCACCCCGTCCTACGCAGCTGCCAAGCTCCCTAAACACTTCGACCTCCTCTCAAGAGACACCCACCAGAGAATCCACCACTTTCAATTCACCTGACAGTACCTCTTCCCCAGGGACCTCTCCAGCAGTGGCAGCAGTGGAACCAGACTCAACAGGTCAAACAGGTAGACGGAAGTCCTCCTTGTTGTAGGACCTTGTAGTGCGAAGCCTCATGGTGTCGCTGTTAGCCACATGGTCTAGGAACAAGACCTAACCCATTCCCTAAGGAACCTTACAGAGAGAGCCAAAAGTTGTAGTAACGGGCTTTAGCAGCTGATGGCACTTGGCTGCATCATGTTCATCCTAAGTGCAACACATCTATTGACTGTGCAGGGTACAGCTGCATCCAGGATAGGCAGCATCTGTCATGCTGGTGTGTGTCCCAGCTGAGGGTTTGCTGCTGAATGAGACAGGCCAGGTGGCTGTCCCTTTAAGTGCTAATGGCCACATTTGGCTGTCCCAAAGTAGTGGTTATAAGTCCCTTAGGAGCGTGGGGAAACAAAGGAATCTGGTGGATGTCAACCTCTGATGATTTCCTCCCCCGTTGCTGTCTCAGATGATCCATCTGGATTGGTGGGTGCAGAGGGATACACAGAGCCAGCCGGGCACGAGGAAGAAGAGGAGCAGCCTTTACCGGGGGAGCCTGACACAGCTGAGCTTCGCAGGCGCCGGCTTCAGAAACTGGAATCCTCCTCTCCCCCTTCCCATTGACACCCCTCCCACCCCCCTTTCCTAAGTACCTTGTCTTGCCTGGGTTACCGTTTGACACTGACTTTTTCTTTTGAAAAGCAGCGTGTGCGGTGGTGGTTGGGGATGCGACAAGAGAAATGAGACTCTGCTATCGCTCTGTTTAGAATGTTCTAACCTGCACCAAGTGCTGACTTGACATGAGAGTGCTAGGGCCGCTATGCTGGGGCTCAGAATTGACTCTTTAATCTGCCATGGTTTCTAATTTAAAAACAACAACAACAACAACAACAAAAACCCACCGCCCAGTCTGCAGCTGTCCTCTCTCTGATGTGGAGATTCAGTCATACCCACCTGTGCACTAACTGTTCTAATTCCAGAGCCTTCCCAGCAGCATTCCCTGAAAAGCAGGGTCCTTCTACAAAACACGATGCACAGGGCTGAGGTGGTCAGACCCCAGGGACTTCCGTGGTGTGCCACTTAACTGCAGTGGGCATATCTATCGTTTAGAAAGCTGCCCTTCCTCCCCCCATCTGCCTAACAGGAGTTGGGTGGTAACTTCTCAAAATAGTTCTCTTCTGCTTTAACCCGGTTCTTTCTACCTCTGTGGCATTCATATGGCGGCTGGCCTCCATCCTCAAGCAATGCCTTCTGGGCTCATCCTAACAATGTTAATGTCTAGCTGAAGGAAGTCCATAAGAAACATTCTCCCATCATGAAAGGGGGAAAGAGGTGTATTTCCTTAACAAACTACCCATGGAAGGATACCTGTAAGTGAGCATAGTCTCAGCTTTATACGTAGGAGCAATGTATGTAGGTGACTCAGTTCAAGGTGAGAGGAGTTCATGAAACACACTTGTTGTCCCCTGCTAATACTCAGCCAGAACTCCCAAGACAGTTAAGCCTAAGGATGGCAGGATCCAGACCCTAGGTGTTTCTGGTAGTCATTGCTAGTTTGGCTTGGTTTGTGGTGGGGTAAAGTTAAAACATCAACCATCACTTCTGCTTCATACCTTTTTTTGAATTTATTTTTGTTGAGTGAGGAGCACTGAATGGAGCAGTGGACGCTGTGGGAGAGTTGTGAGATTGCTTTAAAGTCCATTTTTAACTTTATTTTCTCTCTGCGTGCTCTAGTGTGGGTGGAGATCAACATTCTGCATCATCTGAGGAAGCCCAGTGGGGGCTCTCGCAATCTAGAATTTAACTTAGTGCAAATGACTTCAGTATTGATCACAAACTGTGATGCTTAAAGAGTTTTATCCAAATGGCATTGGGATGATCATCTTAGAAGGGGATGATCGTGCAGTTAAAACCCCTCCCCTGGATTACACTGCTCAAATATTCATCCCAGCAAGAAGAACATCTTCTGGATGTAGAATGGAGTCTGCTAGACCTTTGAAACCAGAGTATTGATTTGCCTGTGTTTAGCAATGAATCTATGCTGATGGCACAGATAGCGAAGAATTTAGAAGTTAGTCAGATGTAGTTAATATTCCCCCCTTCTCTGTGCCCCACGACCAGAGAAGCACTTGTCATGTTTCCCGTATCGAAGAATTGGAGAAGTTGCAGTAGCCATGGCTACTCAATGACACTTCTGGCCTTTGATACTCTCTAATGTTGGAGCTTTCACATGCTTTATTCATCATAGTGACACTTTAATTGCTAAGGAGTTGAGAGATGAAATGCCTCTTCACCTCCAGTCTTACTTGGAAGCGAATGGGCCAACCTCATCCTTTGTGATTCTACTTAAGTCCATGCTTTTATGCCTGGGATGAAAATGGCTTATTGGCCAGGTTCATGTTGTTCTGTCTGTATGCAGGCCATGGTCCCGTAGCCATCTTCTGTGAATTGTCCCCATGGATCTTGTACAGCTCCTGGCACCACCGTCAGGTTCTCTAAGAGCTGCTTTCAAGACACAAAACAGTCACCTCTGCTTTTTATTCTTTTTTATAGCAGTGGCCTAACAACTTCAGAAGAGTTTATTAAGGGTTGCATGGACTCTTGTTGATTGACAGTATTAGTGGTGGAACTCCTATAGGAAAATACCTTTACTTTGGATAAATAAGTAGAAACTTCCCATTAGCAATGAGACCCTGCTCATCCAGTCTGTTTTACTACCAAGACTCTGTAGGTCAATTAAAGGACATTAGGCTAATTGATATAAGAACATATGACTTTATGGGTTTGTTACTTGTAGCACCTTCACATATGTTAGATTTTTAGTAACTCCTCTGCAATCTGTCCAGCCTAGTTCTTTCCCCAGATCCTTGCTTGCATACCAATGCACCTTAAAAGACTAACACCAAATTCAAAAATTTTTGGATTGATGTAAGCAAGCAATTAAAGCGTGGTCATGGTTATGGACCATGAGTTTGTTCAGTCTGTTAGTAATCAGCTGGAAAAGGCTCTTGGCTACCTTGGCCATTATGATAGGCTACTTCTGTCCCTTTTTGTGTGAGCCTATATAATTTTAAAAACAGGACAAATAGGTTAAGACAACAGGCAAGGATATTAAAGTCCTTAAACATTGTGTTTCAGAAATGTAATTTGAGAGGACTAATCTGACTTGTAATTGTTTGACACGTCTCCTGAGTGTAAGTCATGACAGGGGGATCACTTAAGTGACTTAGGAGCACCAGTCCTGTTGACTTTCAGTGGGACGGTGCTCCTAGAAGTCCCCGAGTGATTTGAAAATCCCATCCAATAGAGTTATGTGAACTCACATACCTAATGCAAACATAATACAGTATACGCACCCCTGTATCTAAAGGGATATCAACTTAATGGGGAAGTAAGCCATGGGCTGGATTTAGATAGGAGAGGTAATGAAGGGTTAAGTAAGCATTTTTAGTATAAGGAAGATGCTCTGCAACAGGCAATAGATTACATTATAGAACCAGCACTGAATGAGTCGTAAAATTCCTCTCCTCCCCACCCAAAAAAAACAAAAATTGTGTGTGTGGTGACCCGAAACCGTTGTTTGCTATTCAGTTTACTTTAATTCAGCAGTTGGTATAACCCTTCAGTGCTTCTCTTTAAGTGGCTTCTAATCATACATCTATCTCAGGGAAACAATCCAGAGATAGCACTTAAGGGTTGTAAATTCGGTTAATAGTTGAGTTCCTTCTGAAGAAGGGCAAAAGTAGTTAAAGATTTATATTTTTAAAACATAGATTTGTGTTTTTGTTTGTGTTTTTGTTGGAGGCACATCAGGATTACAATACTGGTTTGGATGGGAGTCCCAGCCACCGAGAATTAGAACTGAGCATCGAGGACGGGAGTGGGTGACTGTGACAAGGGATGGCGATATCTGGCAGACAGCTAGGATCCTGGTGTTCTGGTGGGGAGAGGGTATTAAAAGGCAACCAGGCTGCATATCACTTTGTAGCAAGACAGTGGGCTAAACTTGCATTTGGTGTAATAACTATGCATTCCCTCCCTTCTTTATATCCAAACCTTAAGAAAGAAAACCTTGGTTTTAAGAAAGACCAACAACAAAAAGCATGAGTAAAATCCATACATAAATGCAGACTCATCTGTGAGTGTGGATCGAGAACCTCCTGTTCTCTGGCCATGGAACATGAAGTAGTGAGACTGCATTTTTTTCTTTTTTAAAGGGGGCTGCATGCTTGGAACATGTGCATTTCCTTCAGTGAGCAGAGAGGCCTTTTCTTCATTCTATAAAGGGACGATAAGATCAGTCAACTCAGAATTTGACATGTGGTCCTCATATATCCTCTTTGATTTTTAATGCTGAGGGTCCCGTCCCCTCCCCTCCTCCATGCCCCCAAAATAACTTGTTTGGCTCCTTACCAGAAATAACTATGGTAATATGAGGAACTCTGCAATAACAAGCCAGCCTCCATAAACATCTTTAATTCAGTGCTGGGTGTGCGGAAGAGGAGAAAACTTGGTCTCATACTTCCAGCGATTGCTTAAAAGGTTTTTTTTAAATATGCCATATGTCCTGTTTAAAATTAAATTGTTTGAATTTAAAGGTGGGAATAGTTTAGGGAAGCGTCCATATTTTGTTTTCAATTTCAATAAAATGACTATTTAGCAGAGGATGTGCTAAACTGTGCCACACATTCCATGATATTTGCATCCTTTAGGAGTTTATTTACATACATAAATGAAGAGGAAAATACATAAATGGAGAGACCATTGGGAAATGTTCATGGCCTATATTCATCCCAATGGTTTCCTTTAACTTCTTTCATTGTTTTTTGTGTTGCAGAGTTGTGTTGGAGGTGAAGAGGGTTTGGATAATTATTTAATTTGTAAATATTGTGTACATTTTTAATAGCTTAAATTGTATATACAGCAAAATAAAACTTGCTTTAAAGATGGTGTAGTGCTTTGATAGTTTTGGAGGAGAAGTGTTAGGCAGCCTTGCCTACAAGTGGTGCTACCAACTCTCCCTATAGTAAGTACACAACCCTACTAATCCATTATCTCCCTTAGGTGACTGAAGATGATTTAATACTGATAGCAGGCACAAAAGTGGTAGGATGCCTGATTTCCCTACGTGGTTCTGCCCTTACTGCAGGGGAAATGAGGGAGGAGGCCAGCACCAAGTTTTGTAACTTCTTTGTTCTTCAGTTTACATTTCTGTAAAATGAGGATAATAGTTACCACCCGGCCAATGCCCTAGAGTAGGGGTAGTCTATTTTTTGTCAAGGTCCAAATTTCTTGGTCAAAGGTATAGTCAAGGCCTCCAGAGAAAATAATAATATAAACCCAACAATAAGTAAATAAGATTTCAGGGACTATTCAAAAGTGTTTGGTGATCCCTAGTCCACCTACTGACTACCCCTGCCCGTGAGTAACATAAGGCTTAATGTTGCAAATGCAAAGTGTAACACTGATAGGTTTAGGTGCCTCCCTTCATCTCCAGCTCACAAACACCTCCGGTGGTGGCAAGTGGGAGACTCTTAGGCTATGTCTACACCACCGCGGTAAGTCGACCTATGCTACACACCTCCAGCTATGTGAATAACTCGACATACCTTGGGTAGAGTACAGGGGTCGAATGCAGAGCGATCTGCTGTTGATGTGGCAGGTCTTCACTAGACCCGCTAAATCGACTGCCGGTGGATTGATCCCATAGCCTTGATCCCGATTGTAGGGTAGATATAGCCTTAGCGACTTGGTGAAAGACAGGATAGAGTTCATCTTCTTTACTTCTCTTGCAGACTACATGTGGAGACTTCACACAGTGGCAAAAGAGTCTATTGGCCACATAATTGATTGTCCCCTCTAGACCTTCTTTAACCAGGCCTCTATGGTTCCCTTTTGTCTTCTAATCTTAAAACTAGAGCTGGTGCCATGGGACTCTGGTTGGCACTCGACCCTTTCTTCCTCCCTAGGGTGACCAGATGTCCCGATTTTTGGGTCTTTTTCTTATATAGGCTCCTATTACCCCCCACCCCCTGCCCCAATTTTCACACTTACTGTCTGGTCACCCTATTCCTCCCCCTCCATGGCACAGACATGCCAGCTGAGAGGAAGCCCGCCTGCCCTTCCTTCTCAAGGCCTCTGCTCAGCTGAAAAGCCTCTTTGCCGCTCTAGCTCCTCTTCCACCAGCTCTCTATGGTTCTGCTCTATAGCACAGAACCCAGAAGGGGTTATGGAGTCTCTCAGCTCCTCGTCCAACAGGTGTCTATGTTCTCAGGGGGAGTCCAGAACCGGTAATGGGGCCGCTCTAGCCTGTTTCCCGCTACTCTCGCTGGTTTCCTGTACTACGTCTGCGGCCTACCCATCCGGGTCCTTGTGACGGGCGCATGCGCACTGCTGGCGCAGTTGGTGGCGCCATAGTAGTTGGGGGACAAGATGGCGGCTGAGGGGCTGGAGGCGGCGGGGGGCACAAGCTGTGGCGGAGCCGGGACCGAGAGGGCCCTCGGCGAGGGCGGCGAGAGCGGCCTGAACATTGGCGGTGAGAGCGGGAAAGGGGCTGGTCGGGGTCCGGCTGGGAGAAGTCCCCGGCCAGGTTGCTCTCCGGGCGTGGGGGAGAGGAGCGGGCTCCCCGGGCGGGGGGAGGGAGTTCCTTTCCATGGTGACCCTGGGTTGTGGGAGGAATGACCCGGCTGGGGGGGGATCCCTTTGGCGTGCAGGGAGTCCTGGAAGAGAGATGGTCCCCGGGGACACACTTAGGAGGGGGGAGGAGCTCTTGGTATGGGGGTGGTGGACGGAGGGAAACTTTCGAGAAGAGCGAGTGTGTCCCCTTGGGGACAGAGGGAAGAGGAAGGCCAGGAGTCTGGCGGGGGGGTGGTTCCCCCTGGGCGGCGATGGGGTCTCTCTGGGGCTAGGGGAGAGAAGTGCTCCGAGAGGAGAGCGCCTCCTGGGGATTGGGGGAGGAGGGATTCTTCAGGGGGATTCCCCGGGAAGGTACCTCTGGGATAGGACCTTGGTAGAGAGAACTGCTGGAACTGAGGAAGAACACCTCTCTGCAGTGGGACCCATGGGGTTGCTGGTGAAGGGGGAAAATGCTATAGAATAGTTCAGAGGAGAGGGGAAAGGGTGAGGTGCTTCCTGGGCTGAGGAGGGGCACCCCAAAAGGGATCCCTGTATTGGGATGATCCCTGATGTATGGACTTCTCTGGGGAGGTGGAGGGTTTGGTAGTTCGTCTCTGGACACTTATCTCTTGCTGGTCCAACTCTGTCAGCTGGATTAGTCTGAACAGTTAACTTGCTGTGGGATAAATTTGTCGGCAGTCTGGTTACACAGCAGGGAAACTGGAGTTGGTTCGTTTCTGGGTTGCATGTAAATAGTGGACCTGTGTGTTGTTCTGTTGGAGGCCATGGGACTGATTAGTTCACCTTCTTTGTCTGATACTATGAAATGGCAATGTTTAATGGTTAGAGACTCCTGGGTTCTATTCCTGGCTCTGGGGAGGATCTAGGGGAGAGAGCAGGGGAAGCCAGGATCCCTGAATTCTATTCTCAGCTTTGGGATGGGGAGTGAATCCTGGTAGTGAGTGCAGGAAATTGAGAGCCTGATCTCTTGAGTTCTACTCCTAGATCTCTCCCTAACTCCATTTGTGGTGTAGAGCATATTGCTTCACTTTTGTGTCTCTTTCCCCACCGTCTGTCACAGTACAGTCGATTTTGCCCTGTGAGGTATCTTTTGCAGTATTCACACAAAAAATTTAATTCTTGACTGATGACCCAGACAGTGACATGCACCAAATTTAAGGCTCAGGGGCCTAGGTTTTCATGCAGACACTTTACTTGTGAGTAGTTTTTTCTTCCTGCCATGGTCTGCCTGGAATTTCATTGCTTAGTTTATAAAGTGTGTTCTAAGTGGGAGAGACTCATTAGCTAGCTTTGCTGACATAGATGGACTTCAACGAAGATATTTGGTGGGATACTTGCATGAAGACGACTCACTTTCTAAACTGCTGTAGTATATTGGGTACTTACTGGAGCAGGGGCATTTGACATCTTTGGTGCTTTATCACAGAGCAAAAGCTTGCCTCTTAAAAATATAACCCATTTAGGTTCTACCTTACCCACAGGTGTGGGGATAGGCTCAAAACTTTAAAATTAGTTACTATTCAGAGGGCTGTGTGACCCAAGTTTGAGTTTAGTCCATTTCCCAGAGAGGCCAGGGACTGCATGAACCATGGAGACTGAACACCTTTGGAGCTAGCTCCTCTGTGTAAGGGCTGAAGTATGTTCATAGGGTGAGACAGCTTGCCCTTTACAGCCCCTGGTGACACCTGATCTGTGGAGAATTGGAGAACTTAGGCTATGTCTTTGCTACAGACTTCTGCTGGCATAGCTCTGTTGATCAGGGGTTGTGAAGAGGTGCAATCCCCAAACGACCTAGCTGCACCTGGCAGAACTCCTATAGTGGCAAAACGGTGCTTTTACTTGTATACGGTAATGGTTTTTGTTTGAGGGTTTGAAATAAGCTAGACCATAACAGT